CTCTCTCTCTCTCTCTCTCTCTCTCTCTCTCTCTCTCTCTCTCTCTCCCTCCCTGCTTCCGACTCTCCCCCAAACTCTCCCAGAGATTGACAGAGCTGTTACTGGATATGGATGCCTGCCCAGTGACACGCAGGCTTCGGCCGGTTGACACGTTATATTTTAGATGAAGTTATGGAACATCTCCACAGCTCATGCACAAACTGAGCATGGGGGAAACGAAGGGCATGACAGGTCTTTCTGCTCCACTTGCAGATGACTTTGATCGCTGTGTGAAGACTGGCCCTGATGCCAGCTCCCGTTAAGCGAGTGTGTGTGCGCGCGGCACATGCAAACGCCAGCAATGACGCGTGTTCGTGACCCGCTTCCTACACACACCTCTTGAGTCGTCTGACTGATCACCAACTCAATATACTTTTGCCACAAAATTACATTTGACATGCACAACTGTCACAAAAAGAGTGTCGAATGGCAGCACGCCTGATTAAGTGTGTGTGTGTGTGTGTGTTGCACTGTAGCTATATGTATGGGACTGACAGCGAATGAGACTCCAAGAGAGTAAAGGAAGAACGACGCAATCAAGCATGGTTGATACCCTTCTCGGGCTAATAGAAACTGCCAGTGGAACGAATAAGCTCAGGAATGCCATGGCAAGAGACGGGGAGGAGAAAGACGAAGAGGGGAAGGAGGATGAAGAAAAGAGGGAACGTAAGAGTAAGTAAGACAGGACAGAAGACAAAAGGGCACTGTTGGATGGATGAACAATGCTGTGAGCAGTGACAGCAGTGGAAGATAGACAGAGAGAGATAAAGCACCAGAAACAAAGAGCAGGAAAAGCCAGAATGACAGTCTCCTCCCAGTGCAGCAAGCCTATATTCACGCTTGCTAATCCTCAAAAATAAATCAGAATAGAAAATTAAATAAAGAACAGGGGAAACGCGTAGGAGGTCTCTCATGCAATTAGACGACCCGCTCTCCAGCTCCTCTCTATCTCTGTCTTTCTGTGAGTTTGATTAATACAGCTGGGATTGCAGCTTTGCTGGAAGAGTAAAGGACGGACTCGCCGCAGTCCGGCGTGGACAGTGCGGGGCGGAACAGCGGTGCGTTTAAGTGCATGCATACATCAGCAGATTTCTAACCCCGTCGTCCAGTACTTACATTTGTATTTCTCCTCCAGGTGTCCCTTGGAGAGAGAGAGCAAACCGATCTTCATGGACAGGATGCGGATCTTCCCACTGCGACCACTTCAGGGACCCCACACACCCACACACACACACACACACACACACACACACACACACACACACACCAGACAGTGGCAATGAGCCAGTTGTATATATGGTGGGTGTATATTTGTGTATAAAGAATATGTTTGTGTGTATTCAGTTCAATTCAGATCTGAATTATATGCAACAGCAGTGATAGGAAATCATTAAGTGTTTGGAAAGAGAGGATTTTTCAAGTGTGTGTGTGTGTGTGTGCGTTTGTACTTCTATCATTGTGGGTGAGAGCTGGTGAGATTAGTACATTTTCGGAGTACCCACGAACGATGTTTAAGCTTGTTGCTTTCCAGCATGTGAACACACATATGATTATACAGTCTGTCCATAGTGTGTAGGCCAGTGCAGAGTGAATATGAACATGTATGTGTGCATGTCTGGTCTCATGTTGACATTGCCACAATATGTATATACAGAAGAGCGTGTAAATACGTATAACATAATCATTATGCACAGACGACGCCAATGCAAATGGATTTTAAAAATAGTCTAGCATAGTGATGATGAGATGTATCAGTTTTGCCACTTTCATCTGATTTAAGACATTTTACACGCCGTATTTCGAAGCGCATGTTTAAACGTGTATACAAACTCACTACAGCAACCCTGATTGCAATCATTAGTTACGTTTTCGAAAGGCAAGGACGCAGGTGGCGACAGGTTTTGTCATAATCTGTGACAAATTCAGAAAAGAAAGAGGCTTGTGTATAATCCTCCATCCTAAATGTGAACCAGATGGCATACGTACGTGTCGTAAACATTGAGCAGCCAGTTGAGACACATGTCAACGCAGAGCGGCACGTTGACCAGGTCTTTGTGCTCCTGCTCCAGGCCGTCGTAGATGGACGTCAGGCAGTTGATGACGTCGGGGACAGACAGCAGCTGATTGTTATTGGTGAGCTTGTGCTGCTCGAAGGTGTTCTGGGCCACGCTGAGGTCCAACAGGTCCACTGCAGGGGAGGAGGGGGAGGAGCGATGGAGGGGGAGAGTAGGAGAGAAACAAAGGGGAGAAAGTGAAGAAAGGTTAACGAGAAGGAACAAAGAAGGAAGAAAGAAAGAAAATTGTAAAAGAGATGACAAGGGACCAAAAGAGGTGCTTAACCATTAGTAACCTTTCTGACTTGTTCAATGGGCTTTCAGCAGCGGTTCAGATTTTTCTAAAAATGTCAAATCTGAACAGGATCGAGGAGCTGAAAACGGCACAGACTATTCATAGAGGCACTTATAAACGGCAGACGTGACTGATATTTTGTCCAAAATAGTTCAAAAACAACTAACTGTGAAAGTCTGCAGGGAGTACAGACAGAGAGCAGGCAGATCATTGTGGTGAAATATTAATATCAGAGAGAAATCTGAACAGAAAAAAGACAAACGAGGAAAGAATGTCAGACTTATAGTTAGTAATTGAATTTGTTGGCTACATCTTCAGAGACAGAAAAAATGGAATCTATTTATATCAATATCTCAATTTAACCTTCATTGTCTTCTATAATGCAGCTATCACTGATGTATCTTGAAAGTAAGACGGTAGAAGAAGAGAATATTTAAGAAAACAGGCTAATCAAGTCCTTCGGAACAAAACCATAAAGGACCCAGCTGCATAAACGCAAACAACACACAGAAACAAAAAAAATGATTAAACAATAGATAAAATACAATACACTTTCCGAAGCTGGTCATTCACACACATACACAGATATCGTGGGATTTATAGTGTTTAAACACCAATACTCCATCTTAACATGTCATTTTTCTTCATTACGGAGTATAATTTTCTAAGAATAAGCTAAAAAAAATCTACATATTGATTCTAAGCCAGTTTTGGGCATGTAGTGTGTTCCCACAAGAAAAGTGTCAAAATAAAGTATACTCAAAGGTGACAGCATGCCTACTATATACAGTCCATTACTGAATGTGCTGAGGCACGCCACTCTCCCACAATGCAATGCACATTTTCTTGTGTACTGTAATGCTGTGCATCTACTCACAGTATGTAGTACATGCTGTATAGAGTTTGTATGGATTTGGGACACCACTCATATGTTCTATTCTAGAGCATTGTTCTTCCTTTTTCTGTCTTGTAGATTGGCACTTCGTTAAATGTGCAAATGTTAAACTATTCATTTAAGACTATTGTGAATATACTGTGTGGAATTACTACCTAGTCTGCATTTGGGACCCAGTATTTTTACACAAATCTAGAGATGAATTAACTTTTAATCAGTGCTGTATTCAAGGTCCACTGGAAAGGTCAAACAGTTAACCCAACATGTAGACAGTAGTGCAACAAATATACAGGAGTGCTTTTTTTTTTTTTTTTTTAAAGGGATTGCGCGGCTTTTGCAGCTGCTAAACCTACACAATTAAGACAAAAAGAATCGCACCCCAAACTGTGCTGCCAGGCAAATTGCATCTCGGTGCTCCTGTGCTCTTTGCACCCATTTTAAATGAGGTAATACGCATACATTCGGCACAAAATTGGCCCCCTTTCAATGCAAATTAACCTCATTGCAAAAACAGTCAAATTCGACCGTCGTGTCATGAAAAATAAATTTAAAAAAGCTTCAGTCATTTTGAAAACACATGAGAAAAAAAGGACTTAAAAATAAGGTTATTATATAAATGAATAAACATTTTTTTTTTCTTTCCTCTCCCTCCTTTCCTAAATCCTTGGCTTAAATTGTTTCCCTTGCCTTTCTCTTAATTGCCTTGGGAGGTTTGGATGGAAGTGGTGCTCAGGCTGACTCTCCCCCCTCACAACCACTGCCCTAGCCTCAAGCGCATAATTTATACTTTGACATATAGATAATTGAAATCTAGATTCAAAAGAAGGGCAAATTGCACTCAGCTGCAAAAAACTTTTGCACTGTAATATTATCTCCATGTCTTTTGTGAATTGGACCTTGAGACGGGGAAGAATTTGGATGATGCAAATGATGCACATTTCCTGTTGCTGTAACTGGCCGTAATCCATTCTCTGTGAATTCACCCCACAGTGTGTTGTCTGCTACGGGTGTTAAATTACCATGACCAAAATAACAGGGCAGGACATGAATGTGGTGAAACGATATGCATAAGGATACAGGGGTAAGTATGTTGTATCACGGTACGTTGTATGTATGTAATACAAAAAACTATATATTGTGATACTCAAAGAGTATCAATATTTTCTTACACCCCTACAAAATAAAGGCTATGACTCTTTTCCATAAACCATTTAGACTCCCTCTCCTAGAGCCCGCATCCCGCTCACCTGCACTCCTCACTTAAGTGTCATTTGCCCTGTTGCATGCTCCTTGCAAACCCCTCTACGGCTCCTTGACTCACGTTACCTCCTGGTTCCCAGAAAGCACTCATTAGTGTGGTGTATCCGCGTGGAACGGCCGATGCCGTCAGAAAGCAAAAAACGTGGCTTCTGTCTGGCTTTCTCACATTAACGGGATGCCACGCAAGCTCATAGGTGCTTTACCAGCCCCCTGGCACAGACTTAACCCAATTAGACGTTTGATAGGATCCCTGTCATGTGTGTTTGTGCCATTCCCTCACACACATGCATGTGTACGTAGACACACCCACACACACACACAGATTTACAAACATTCATACTATTACACAAAGGTCTCGAAGCAAAGATTCCATGTGAATCCAGGCTAATAACTAATAACTACTGATCCTTCTGCTGTGCGTATGTACTGGCTTGTGTGTGTGTGTGTGTGTGTGTG